GTTTTGTTTTTTTAAAGATTTTATTTATTTATTTGAGAGAGAGAATGAGAGACAGCACGAGAGGGAAGAGGGTCAGAGGGAGAAGCAGACTCCCTGCTGAGCAGGGAGCCCGATGTGGGACTCGATCCCGGGACTCCAGGATCATGACCTGAGCCGAAGGCAGTCACTTAACCAACTGAGCCACCCAGGCGCCCGCATTTTTGTTTTTTATAAGCTACCCATTCTGTGGTATTTCGTTTTGGCAGCCCGAATGGACTAAGACACCTGGTACATGCACAGGTGGGGAAGAATGCCTGGTTCTCCATTTTAAGTGACCCTCTTTCCCAAAGACTAGCATGGTACTGCCCCGAACCAGGTTAAGGTTTAACCTTACTGAAATTTAATAATAATAATAATAATAATAATAATAATAATAATAATAAGCCCCTTGAATATATCCCTACGGCCTTATTTGGCACTGGCAGCATAAGCTTAGGTTTGGCCTCGAACATAAGCTCTGTGGGAACTGGACTCCCCAGGTGCCATGGTCCAAGTTTACAGCTAAGATGTTGTGAGTGCCCTGAGCCCCCCAGAAGTTTGCTTCAGTCACTTTGACCAGTAGTTATGTAAAAGGCCCACCTCACCAACCCAGCTGACTTGTGTAGGTTCTTCAGGATTCTGGAGCAAACTGGCCCTAACTGAAATCTGTAAATTATTCAAGATCCCGAGTATACGTTCAGGTGCCCCTGGGGACTTGCCTCTCAGGAAGATTTATCCCCAATTGTCAAGGATTTGAAAGAGCATTATTTTCCTTAGTTACCTTCCCTTTAGAGGAAGACTTGTTTTATTTAGTTTTATTTTTTGTTTAAAGCAGAGCTGTTTTTAAAAGGCTCATTCTAAAAAGAGATCAAGTCAGAGTCTGTTTTCGACTAGTGGGAATTTTCCTGCAACTTAACTGTGGGCTGTGTTTGAACATCTGCCAACACGGGGGCCATGGCTGCGCCCCTGTAACTCAAAAGTGGCTAGTAAAATCATGAAGGGAAATCACAAAAGAGAATTACGAGCAAAATTATCAAAAAGACCAAAAAAAAAAAAAAAGATTTTTCTATAATGAGAGTCACCCTCCAGGTACCAGAATAGAAAATTTGCAGACATAAGCTTGTGTTAGCAGAGACACTTGATGGATTTAAAAGTTTGCCCCAAGTTTAACCGACCAGTTTCTAGTAATCAGTTGTTTCTAATAATGAAAAAGAAAATGAGCATAGTTGAGCAAAAGAAAAACCCAAGATCATCTCCTCCAACATTACCTTAAATACAAGATGAAATTGAAAAACTGCTTTTCATTTTTGGTGCATTCATTTTTTCAAGCTATTGGAACCTTCAAGAACACACTGTTTTTACATTGGCTTATTTTGTAAATGGTTTAATTAACATAGTGAAAATGTGGTTGTATGAATGAATTAATCATGTCAGGATTCTCCTACCTCTTGATCTGAAGGCAGGATTGCACTTTATCATATAAAGAAATAGATTTAAACATAGTAGGAATAACACTTGGTTATTAAGTCACAAATGTATTTTGTCATCTGTTAAAAAGTATGCACTAATGGTTAAATGTTACAGCATCTCTATTTTTAAAGTATTCAGTACATGGCTGCAACCCAGAGATCATTTTTTCCTGTAGTGCTTTTTACTTATTTATTTTTGGAGAGTTTGGGCCAAATCTGTTCCATCTTTGACCTTTGGATTCTTTTCTTTTTAGGGAAACAACGATGTATACCTTTCCCAGTATTAAACATACACACAAACTCACATGCATGATAAACAATTCCCAGACTTGCTTTTCTGACAAATAAATCAGTGCTAGTAGACCTTTAAAATGTCAAACTTCTCATTCAGCATGAGAACTGTCACTGTCCCTGTGTTCTTTGACAGCACCCCGGGCCTTACTGATTGGCATGGTTCCCATGTGTCAGAAGAGTGAAATGTACAAGACACCTATTCAGACCTATCCTGTCCCTGTAATTATTGCAGGGTTTTTTTTTTTTTTCTTTTCTTTTTCTTTTCTTTTCTTTTTTTCTTTTTCTTTCTTTCTTTTTTTTCTTTTTTTGCCTGGCCTCTTCAGAGATTTACTACTTTCTCAGGCTTCTGGCCTCCCAGGGAGGTCAAAGAGCTTCAAGTTAGTTTGCTTTCCCTCCACTCTTTCAATACCAGGGTACCACCAAACCTTGTTCCAAGACCTCTTGGAGAAGTGCACAGCTGCCTTATGCCACCTCTCAATCACTGCTCACAGGCATGCCCAAAGGGTCCGCCCAGCATAGCTTACTAATTCTAGAAAGGTGACTTCTCATGATTATCACAACTTTAAAAAATGTTCTTCTAGACCTCATAGCATGAGGAACTGGTTTTGATATCTGACAGTCCTGGGTTCATATTATACCATTTCTTTGCTCTATAAATATGGATATTATTGCATTTCTCCAAACCTTAATGCACTCATCTGTGGAGTGGAAAGGGATGCCATCAAGAATATAAGTTTATTGTGTAAGTTAAGAACTAAGTATGTATTAGAAAATAGGAACAGTACATGTACCCATTTGTGTGGCAGTAAGTAGAATTCTCTTTCCCTACCTACTCTATTTTGAATACAAGGATAAAGAATACACTGGAAATATTGCAAAGCAAGGGAGTACAAAAGGGGATACCCTGGTGATGTGCTGCCCTATACAAATCAAAGCATTTTATACCATACAGTGACTTCTGCCCAGTAAGTTGGTATGGGGGCCAAACACACGTCTAAGACAATGTTACTACTTTCTACCTATTTAGGTATTCCTTTCCTACCTAAGATTTGCCTGCAATATGAGGAATTTCCAAATTTCAATATGCCAGTGTCAGCAAGCCATCGAGTTGAGGTTATCCCCTAGTCTCAATGTCAGCAACAGCTCTGAATGTGCCCATGTGTATGTTGCATATGAACTATTCATTGAAATTTACTACAGGGAACATCACTTTTATTAACATTGTAACCTGACCAGAGCCCAAGACTCCATGTCCAACACAAATGGACTTTTGGACTAAGAAAAAAAGTTTTCTACCATCTACTCTTAAGTTCTTGTCTGGAAAAGGACTATCCAGTTAGGAAATTATCCAGATGTGATGATTTGCCAGGTAATCCAATAGCTTATTGATTTTTTACAATTTTTACGGGGATAAGACAAGCAAATATAAAGACATAAAATTCAAGTCAAGCTTCCAAGTGAGGCCTGATGTGAGAGAGAGGAGAAAGTCCAGCTTTTCAGTGGGCTCAGAGTTTTCCTGTGGATAGCCTCCCAAATCTGCCCCGCCAGACTGACAACTGCAGGAAATTTATGCTTCCAGAGCCTCTGGGGCTGCCAGACTCAACTCAGACTCAACAAGCCCAGCATCTGACTCACCACAGACCTCCCATCCTCTCCTTGCCCATGGCTACTGTTTGTATTCTTCTCTTCTAACTGGATACCTTCACACTCACCTTGGACGCTCCTTGACTTTCATCTGCCATTAATCCTCTGACCTTTTCCCTTCTCATTGCCCCGGTGGCTTTCTCCCTCCCCTACTTTCTGTGAATCAGGTCAACGGCCTCATCACCCAGTGCATCTGGGCAATAGCTTCTTGGCTTTCCCTTGCTTCTAACAACTGCTACCCCACCCCCCACCCCACCTCCTTGCCAGCAAATGTTTTGAATCCCTGTGGGCGTGTCATGCCTCTGCTCTAGAACTGGCTCTCTCAGCCTCAGTAATTGTTCTTGTTACTAAGATCCTCTGTCTCGGGAGATCTATCCCTATTTCCTGCCACTCCCTGACCCACTCTTTTATTCTATCCCTTATACAACCCTTTCCTCCCAGCCTGGTGTCAGTGATACTCTTTCCCTCAACTTTTCCGCCCATAATGCCTAAATCCAAGCCTCTTATTCCAATTCCAGCCCAAGTCTACATCTGCCACCAACTTGCCCTAAAATACTTTCTCGAAACTGCTTACCTTTCCTGTCTCTACACTCCCTGGCTATTTAGCTCCATCCCCTGCACCCTCTCCGCAGGGTAACCCTTACTTAATCGCTCTGTTCGCCCATTGGCCCTGTTTCCCCATAAGAGCGTGTGATGTGAGCATCTATACCATTCTTCTTCATCCTACTCATTCTTCAGTCCCTCCTCCAAGCAGAGGACACAGAAAGAGAGCAATAGTGCCCCTGAATTGGAACTGAGGTTTGGACTCCTGTAGATTCCAACCTACAGTTTCTACCCCCGCTGAGGGTAAATCATTAATTCGAACATTTCTAACTTTGTTACTCTTCATCACAATTGCACAGGGCCACAGAAGATTTAGTATCAAGGCATTCACATGCCCCACGTGCCTTTAAGAAAAGGCTAAATAAAGGGTTTTTTTTACCAGTTACCCTGCAGGGGGGCCGGGTGGGGGTGGAAAAGTGTATTGTTGGATTTAAGAGCTCAGCCGCAGACGAACACACGGATGGACCCTGAGGGGTCATCAGGCTGCAGAGGTGATGCAAGGAGCCCAGCTTTATCTCGCCTCGTGGTGGGGTACGTTCTCACATTCTTCCGTTTGGGAGAAATTACAGCATACTCTCGTCCCATGCGGGGGGCGGGGGCATCAGCTCCCAAAAGCAATGGCCTGAACTGGCATGTGTGAGATTCAGATCGTCCCTGAGATGCGGTTGCAGTGGCTGGGCGGGCGGCCGAAGCAGGCTCCTGGCGCCGGCCTCCAGCAGGGGCGCGGGCGGCCAGGAGTCTCCGGGGCTCCCTCCCGCAGCCCGCGGACCCGCCGCTAGGAGGCGCCGTGAGAGCGCCGGGCCCCCTCCCGCTGCCAGAGGAGGGCTGGCATCCCCTCCGCCAGCCCCTGCGCCTGCCGGGGAGCAGGCGGGGAGCAGACCTCAGAGGACCGGCGGCGGAGAGCCGGGGGCTGTCACCGCGGGCGCGACGCGCGCACCGACCCAGGACGCGGGCACCTGCGGACCGCCACCCGCCGCCCCCGCGAAGGAGCCGGGACGGTGTCTTGGGCTCCCGCTCCCCGGTGAGCACCCGCCGGGGCGGAGGGCGATGTCTGCCGGGGCCCGCCGCGGTCCCCGGGGCAGCCGGGCGCAGCAGCTCGCGCCCCTCTGGTGCTTCTCGGCCGCGCTGGGCGTTCTGTGGACCCCCGCCTCGCAGGCGTTCAACTTGGACGTAGACAAGCTCACGGTGTACAGCGGCCCCGAGGGCAGCTACTTCGGCTACGCGGTGGACTTCCATATACCTGCCGCTCGCACGTAAGTCACCCAGCGCAGGGAGTTCGCGCGCGGGGGCGAACGCGGCCACAGGCTGGGTCCCTGCCCGTCTGCCGGGGGACCCGCGCCTGTCCCCGCAGCTCGATGGAAGGAGATTCCTGAGATTCCATCCCGCTGCGCACTTGGGGTCCCGTCCGGCTCCCCCGCCTCTTGTCCCCCTTCCATGCTAGATGAGCCCTGTGAACTTTGAAGTAGAGACATGCCACTTGCATAGAAAACGCAAGTCCTGGGGAGCTCCCAAGACGCGAGCAAAGACTCGAGCACCATACAAAGGGGAGACCGGGACCGAACAGACTCAGGCCAGTTAAAACAACGGACCACAACACGGGTCTGTTTATGCATAGCCTGTAACAATTAAGTGTCTGGGCGCAAGTGCTGTCGGCTACAAGCAGCTGGGCTCTGTCCTTGGCTACTTTTTCCCCCTTTTCTCTCATCTCACTGTATACATAGCTCCACCTAGAGAAGAATTGGGACGATTTGCATGCACCCTCTTCAAAACCAGGTTTCAGACGCCCGTAGGTTTCCAACAGGAAATCGAGTGTGACAGTCGGTCTCCATCATAAATACGTTTCTGCCCCCGACCCCCACCCTAGTCTCAGTGAGCGCGCCGCTACGGGAGACTGCATCGCATGTGCACACTTTTATGATTCCCAGGGAGTGATTTTCTCCATCCCTTTTGCAGAGCGAGTGTCTTGGTGGGGGCGCCCAAAGCCAACACCAGCCAGCCAGACATCGTGGAAGGGGGAGCCGTCTATTACTGTCCTTGGCCCGCCGAGGGGTCTGCGCAGTGCAAGCAGATACCGTTTGACAACACCAGTAAGTGTTATCTGTCATTCTCAACGGTGGGCCTTGGTTTCAAGGAACTGGAGCCATCCTGGAGTTAACTCCCCACTTTGTTTGTACTCAGTTGGCCTGTCTGATGAGTCTGTGTTGTGGGCTGTTCAGGTCCCTAGAGAAGCCTGAGTGAAGGCGAGGAAAATGTCCCGTGAACCCCAGAGAGGGAACGTTGGTGTTTTGACCTTGAGTATTTGGGTGCGTCCTAGTAACTTCTGTTTCCTTACTGTCCCAAGATGAGCATTTTCAGGGTGAGTGGATGCTTTGAAGAAATACAAATGTTCCACCCAAACCTTGATTATGGAGAGAGTTTGGTGGCTCCCCAAGGACAAATCCAGGAAAAGACAGATCCTTAGCATTTCCAGTGCCCAAACTCTGGAGGCAAGACTCAGCTGCTATAGACCCAGACATCACTCCATGTTGCTGTTTCATTCTTTACAGAAAGAAAGAATTTTCTTTCAAAATATTGGACATTGGAGGCAAACTAGTACGAGCAGAGTGTGGATGGATTACATTCATTTCCAAAATCCCTAGACAGATGTTTCTTATTTAATTAAAGGAAAAATACATTTTAACCAATTCAGGCTGGTTAGGTTTTCTCTCATGTTTTCTCTTTGGGTCCTGAGAAAATAACTTTACTGTAATGCTTTAGAAAACATTAACACTGAGTGTTTTAATTTGTACCTCTAAAACTTTGTGAATTCAAAAGGTATACATTATCAGGAACCAAATATCTCTTTTCAGAAAAATGTGAACTCAAATAATGTTTTTTGATGATCAGTCATTTAAGATACCTTTTGCACCACACAACTATTTTATGACATCATTCTTCATCATTGTTACATTAGTGTGCATTTAGAATGTATGTAGAAAATCCATTTTCACAGCATTTTGATGAAATTGGTTGGCTTGTATTTACCTGTTACTTTATCCGATTTGCAACTTTCTATCTTAAAAAATAAAATAATTTCGATTCTAGCAATATGAAAACCATTTCAAAGGAAAAAAAAATCCTGTGCAAGGCTTACCTTGAATTATGACCAAATTAGGAAAATACTTCATAAAAGCATTTTCAAATTATGTTTTTCATATGTGTCTATATATAGTCACAATAGCTCCTCTACCATTTTATTAAGTAACTCAGTTACTTCATACCAGTTTTCATAAGTTTTTACTTTTAAATGTATTAGAAATTAGAAAAATTAAGCCACTTGATGTTGATTTGTAAAAGATATCTTTTAACTAGTTGTTTAATTGGGATTTTAAATGTTTCTGCTTACTGACCTACCTCCATTTGAGAATAAATTTTCTAAATCAGGATTAAGCATAAAATTAATGGCTTTTTAAATAATCCATATCAAAACCATTTGTATTTTTAAAAGACTCTAAAACTTAAGCCTTGATAAATAAAGACATAAATCAATAGTACTATTTGAATTTAAGTTAAGGGAAATAACTATTTACATTTTAAGATATGTTCTTGTATTTTTACCAAGAAGCAATCTATAGTCATGGACATAAATTTTGTAACCTGCTAGAACATTCCTATAACATACCAAATCAGGATCTGGTTAGTATATTTTTCCTTTGATAAAAGAAGAACCGATGTCTGCCTAGATAAGTCACATCTGAATACCTTTCTAAGTACTAATCCCAGTAGATGTCATCGTTCAACAGATGAAAACCAGAGAATACAGACATCAATATGAATTTTTAAAAACTGAACACTCCCAACCAAAAAATTTCCAATGTTAAATTACAATAGGTAAATTTTCCAAAAGTTCCTTCTAGAGCAACTGTTTGGAGATCTGAATTCACTTTCCCATGGAGAACTAATGCTGCAAGATTGTGCTTTGGTTTCCAGAACAGCCCACAGGAATGCACATAACCCTTATTGTAGCTGAGTTATATTTGTAGTGAAACAGTAGGAGACAAACCAGCACAGTTTTAGCAATTAAATAAATAGAAAAATAATAAGAATGTCGAGAAAAGATCAGTGTTACTTGGAGAAAGAGGCAGGGGTGAATGGCATCCCTTCTGTGCAAGTTCTGAGGAAGACATCTGGATATCTCAAAGGGCTCTAGAGAATAATGCTGTTGGTTCTACACTATATCTTATTTGACTTCGAAATGAATGAAGGTTTTTTGGATTTTGGGGGGGTTTTTTTGTTTTGTTTTGTTTTGTTTTTGTTTTGGTAGACAGATGCCCTCTTCCTGCTGTTATACTTAGCAACCATAACTGTAGTGATTTGAGGATTCATAAATGGAACAAAATAAGGGGGAGAAATGGGGAGGGAGATAGATGTTTCTGAAGTAATTGAGCAAAAAAATGAAGCTAAAAAAGAAGCAAAGCAGAGGAAGTCACACGTTTGTGAGAAATGAATGGTCTGCGGTGGAATGAACAACGCAGTGAGCTGGGAAAGCTTGGGGGAGTCCCACTGAGAAGAGTCTTTGAGAAAAGAGAGTTCCCCATGTTAGCCATCAGGGGGTACTGTGGGCCCAGGAACCTTGGTTGCTGTTGGGAATGGCCTGGGAATGGTGGGGCGAAGGGCATCTGAGGACCCTGGGGGCTCCTGGTTGGCTACTGAGTGGGTGCTAGCACGCGACACATCATTTCTATCGATTTCTTTATCCGGGCGCCCCAGACAGTCGGGCTCTTCGCAGTTGGAGTCCCTGTTCTTTGGGCACAGTGTGACCTTGGAACCAAAGATGAAAGGCAGAAACACAGGTGCTGCTGACTCTGGGTCTGGCAGTCGATGTTACCACACGCATGGCATTTATTGATCACCTACTATGTAACAGCCACTTATACAACTTATTTCTAACCCATAAAACACATTTTATGAATAAGGAAACTGACATCAAAGGTGTTAAAAAAGTTACGTGCAAGACCACACCATGGTAAGCAGTAGACGCAGGGTTGGAAAAAAAGGTCTGCCTGGAACAGAGCCTGCCTCTTCCAGGAATGGGAGAAGTCGGTTCCTAATGGGGAGCAAATTCAGGGTTGGATCCTATGGAGCTGATGCCCTGCTTGCCCTGCCTTCCCCACCTCCTTCCTCTCAGCCCCCAGTTACCCTCACAAATTTCAATGAAAATGATCTTCCGGAGAAGATCTAGAAGGAAAAAGCAGTTGGGGTCGAGGGCTGTGGAGAGCAGAGGTCACAGAAGGACGGCTTTGTCTTGATGGGGGTGACGGGTTGTCCGCGCCCCTGGCTTGCCACAGCTCCTCACAGCGTGCTATGGCCCCTCAGTGTCCCCAGTCAGCGACCTCCTGCCTTAATCTCTGCCCCTTGGCAGCCCATGTACAGTTTTCCCAAAAGAGGAAGAAAATTTCTCTGCTTGACAAAGTAGTGGCTTTGAGTGTTGAGCACCCACAAACTGATGTTCACGTAATAGAGCACGATGTCTCGGGCATAGATATGTATCATACTGCAGATATTCCTCTGTAAAGATAGGCGTGACTTCCCTGTCTTTTCTCCATCTGGCTTTCCTGTTATGTCTGAATTCAAGTAAATTTGACCTTTTAATGACATTGTTTCAACTTGTTCAAGCCGCCTGGGGTGTCTACAATTTAGTGTTCACGGTGATAACCTAACAAACTCTCTCAACCTAGGCATTGAAGGAGACTGGCCTATAATTTAGTCCCCCAATCTGGTTGTGATCTTGAACTTCAGTTGTAAGGTCAACTGCCTTTTTTCTTTTTTAAACTTCCATTTTGTTCGATTTTTTTTTTCATTAAATGATCATTTATTTTATTTTTACCTTATCGTGTAACCTGGATCTTAAAAATTACTTCTCATCATGAATGAAAAACCAGGAAGCCAGAAATAGCCTAACACTTCAAATGCATGAATACTATTAAAATCTGTGGTCCTTTCAAGTGTGGAGGAAGGAAACCTGAGGGAAGCATATGGTGGTGGGGGAGGTGCAAAGTGCAAAGAGTAGATAATTTTCCTGCTCTGTACAAAATCAAGTGGTTGCAAAAAAGCACTTCTCTCATCTTCCTTCTGTCTTTCCCTCTTACTTCACTAGAATAAAATTCCCCCTTCACCAAATTGATTTCTTTCACTTTAGCCTCAGAAACTGTCTAAACTGTGCCCCGTGTCTTAAACAATTTAAAACATCACATCTGCCAAATTCATGCCTCTCCTTTCTAAATCTATTCCAAGGTTCATTTCATCTTTCTCCTACATTTTCCAAACCCATGTGTGGAGTAAATAAAACTGCTAGATTAGAGCCCCCCTGCTAAAAGGGGGAGGGAAGAAACAGAATGAATAGAGCCTCATCTTTGGAATGATGAAGGGCAAATTGCAACAGTAGTGGCAAAGGCATGGTGTGCAAATATCTGATCATTTTAAATACACAAATGAAACATTTTGAGGAGAAAGATAATGGCGTGTGCTAATTAATGATGATAATCATCATAACATGAAAAGTAATGGAGGCAAGACAGCTGGGAACACTGGCAATTGGGGACCTGCATAAAGAATGAACAGGAAGAGGTGGGCGGTGGCATTGAGATTTGGAAGTCATCTGAGAAAAAGTACTAGGATTTGCCTGGCCTTAATTTAGTACCTTTGTGTTTAAAACAACAACAACAACAACAAAACGAAACCCTAAAATGGAAGACAGTTTGGTTAAGATATTTCAAAGCTCTGTAATGCTAAGATTTTTGTTAGAATTGTGTTTTAGCTTGGGGACCGGAAGCCTTTGGGTGAGGGGGGTCTGTTTTATTTTGTGTTAAGTGAGCCCACAATAAGAAGCAGCTTAAAGCATCTGGCGCTGTGACTGGTACAAGGGTTGCTTTTTGATAATATTGGGTGTGCCCTTTTTCTCGTGTGAGGGTTGGGAAACATATTGGTCGCATAAGTCTTGCTTTTTCCAACTTCCTCAGAAAGAAATCAGGTTTTGTTCAGGAACAAAGAAAAGAAAAATGTAGGTCAGAGCTATCAAGTAAATGACAGAGGAAATAACACAAATGTG